GTGAAATTCTTTAGATGCCGGATCAAGTATTTAGAGATACCTAACTTATCACTTTGCATGTAATACACTAGGAAAGGATTGCAGTTACTAGAATTACTGCGTTATGAGCTTGTGGTGAACACGTATACCCTAGTTAATTTTCTCATCTTGATAAAAACCGAAATTAACTTTTGTTTATTGATTTCTTACTGAACTCTTACAATTTGTTTCACAAATCCCCCCCTTTTTATTTCTTGTTTCTGGAAGTACTTTGGCTAATTGAATATAATTGTTGGTTAAAGTAAAGTCTAAACCATTTTCCTCGTGGGATCGACCTCAACCTACAAGTTGGGTTCTTTACTTGATAACGATCGCTTATACTTCTTTTGGGAGGTGTAATTTGAGCATATCAGCTCTAGAGAGAAATGATTAGTTAGAAAGGGACATGGCCCGTGTCAAAGAAGAACTTAACAAATCTCTCAAATGGACCACTTCTTCTAAATTGCTTGTCAATCTTACCATTCAGGGTCAAAATTATGGGAATGGTTTAGGAAGTTTAAACATAAGTCCTTCATATAACCCTCACAGAAAATATGTGTCAGTGTCTGACAATCTTATGTGTCTTCATTGTGATTGTAATGGTCATTTGAAGAAGGACTGTTCAACATGGAAAAGAAGCCAAGAAAGTTTCTCAAATTATTTCAAACAGAAAGCATTATAAAACAAGGGACCTGGTCCTAGTTTTGGCTCTGTTCATAATATGAGAAAGACTATATTTCCATACTGGATGAGAAACTCTCTTATTATGCCTCTATCTGCTTACTGGGGACTCAAACTGAAATGGGTTCCTAAATCTAACAAGTAATCTTTGTTGCAGGGAAGTGTTGGGAGTAGCAGTCAGTGTTGGTTCATGGACAGTGGTTGTTCGAAGCATATGATCGGAAAGATTGAAAACTTCCTATCACTTAAGACACTTCAAGGTGGAGGTGTCTCATTTGGAAATGGAAAGAAGGGCTATATTTTGGGAGTTGAGAGAATTGGAAAATCTCTTGAGCACTGTATTGAGAATGTATACTATGTGAATGGGTTGAAATACAGACTTCTCAGTGTCTTACAAATATGTGATAAAGGTAATGAGGTTAGATTTTTATCAGAACTGTGATTGTTACATATCTGACTTCAAAGGAAGTGATCTTAAATGTAAGAAGGTGCAAGAATATGTATGTTGCTGATCTGGATACTGCCCAGGAGATGATCTTACTTGTCTTAGTGTACAAAGAGAGAATGTTGACTTGTGCCACATAAGACTTGAGCTCTCTGTTAAACAAACTTGTTTCTAGAGACCTGGTCCGTGGATTACCAAAGCTAAGATTTAGTGATAACAAAGTGTGTTATGCATGTGTTTAAGGAAAGCAGATCAGAACATCTTTCAAATCAAAGAAGCAAGTGAGTTCAACAAAACCTCTTGAGTTAATTCACATAGATCTGTGAAGATTCAAAGTAGAGGTGGAAAGAAGTATGTACTTGTAATTGTGCATGATTATTTAAGGTTCACTTGGACTATGTTTCAAAGGTCCAAAGATGAAACTTATGATGTGTTGATGATATTTGTCAAAATGACTCAGACTAAGTTGAACTGCACGATTGCAGAGATCAGGTCTGATCATGGGATTGCGTTTGAAAATGCCAAGCTTGATAATTTATGTGCTGAAAATTGCATTCATCATAACTTTTCCGCTCCAAGAACTCCTCAACAGATGGTGTAGTTGAGAGGAAGAATAGAACTCTCGTTGATATTGCCAAAACTATGCTTATTAATTCAAATCTTCCAAAAAAAATCTGGGCTGAAGCAGTTAACGCAACTTGTTATTTGACTAACATGTGTTTGATCTGGTCAATTTTAAATAGAACTCCTTATGAGCTACTCAACAATAGAAATCCTAAATTGAGTTACTTAAGTGCTTGGATGCAATTTTTTTGTGTTGAACAATGGGAAAGATGATCTAGGAAAATGTGATCCTAGAATTGATGAAGGAGTGTTTGTGGGATATTCCTCTTCAAGTAAAGCTTACAGAGTTCACAATAAGAGGACACTGTGCATTGAAGAAAGTGTTCATGTGATACTTGATGAAACTGGTGACATCAAAGATCTAAAGAACAAAGATGACGATGAGCTGGAAGAATTACTTCAGATTCAGAGAGATAGTCTGAATGAGTCACAAGCTGAACGAATTCAAGATCCAATTACTGTTGATTCAACTGGAGAATTTAATGAGTATGTTGAACTTGAAGAGGGACCTGGCCTGTTTGACAATGCTGAACTTGAGGATGCAGTTCAACATGAGGATGCAGATTTTGGAAATAAAGAGGATGAAGCATATCAAACCCAGCCTTTGACAACTAAGTCAGGGCGGAAACACAAATCCTCGCATCCTCTTGATAATCTTATTTATCCTTTGAATTCTGGAATGCATACTAGGTCCAAAACTAGAAATCTAGTTGCATTCTTAACATTCATATTGCATATTGAGCCCAAAAATATCAAGGAAGCCTTGAAAGATGTTGATTGGGTGAATTCCATGCAAAATGAACTTCATCAATTTGAACGAAATAAGTATGACACTTGGTCCCTAGGCGCCCTGATAGAACTGTAATAGGAACAAGATGGGTCTTCAGGTACAAGATGGATGAACATGGTATTATTACAAGAAATAAATCGAGGTTGGTGGTGTAGGGATATAACCAAAAAGACGGCATTGACTATGATGAAACTTTTTCCCTTGTGGCAAGGATGGAAGCTATCAGAATACTCATTGCTTTTGCAGCTTTCATAGAATTCAAACTGTTTCAAATAGATGTAAAAGTGCATTTCGAAATGGTTACTTGAAGGAAGAGGTTTATGTATAGCAACCCTCTGGTTTTGAAGATGTTGACTGTCCAAATCATGTGTTTAAATTGAACAAGGCTCTTTATGGTCTGAAACAGGCCCCTAGAGCTTGGTATGAAAGGTTGTCTAAGTTCCTTCTGGAAAATCATTTCAAAAGAGGAAAAATTGACAATACTCTCTTCTTGACGACCCGACGTAAATAATTGCTCATTATCGAAGTGTATGTAGATGATATTATCTTTGGAGCAATGTATGAAGTCATGTGTGAGGAATTTGCCTCACTAATGGGAAGTGAATTTGAAATGAGTATGATGAGAGAATTGAGTTTCTTCCTGGGGTTGGAAATCAGGCAAACATCAGATGGTTCTTCTATTTGTCAAGAAAAGTACATTAAGGAGCTGCTAAAAAAATTTCATATGATAGATCAAAGCCTATTGATACTACCATGGGAACAAACTAAAACTTAGATGCAAATGAACCTGGTCCTATGGTGAATGAAACTATGTATAGAGGAATTATTGGTTCAATGCTATACTTGACAGCAAACAGACCTGATATTGTGTTCAGTGTGGGTATGCGTGCTAGGTTTCAAGCTTGCCCCAAAGAGTCTCATTTGAAAGCTGCCAAACGAATCTTAAGGTATCTAAAGAAAACAGGGACTTGGTCATATTCTATCCTTCAGGAGACTCATTTGAACTGGTGGGATATGCAGATTATGCAGGGTATCAAGTTGATAGAAATAGCACCTGAGGAATGTCTCACTTCTTGGGGTCTTCACTCATTTCTTGGGGAACCAAGAAGAAAAATCCAGTGGCTCTTTCTACAGCTGAAGCAAAATATGTACCAGCTGCATCCTGTTGTTCTCAACTTCTGTGGATTAAACAACAGGTTGAAAACTTTGGAGTGATCACTCATACTATCCCACTCTTGTGTGATAACACAAGTGCACTCAATATGGCAAAGAATCTTGTTCAACATAAAAGTACTAAGCGCATTGATGTAAGACATCACTTTTTGAGGGATAATGTAGAAAAAGGAAACATTTGTATGCAGTTTTGTAAGGCGGAAGATCAAATTGCTGACATCTTCACCAATGCTTTGAGCAAGGACCAGTTTGAGAAAAATAGATTGAGGTTGGGAATGCTAAAGCTAGACTGAGTTGATTCCATCAGAAGCATCCAAACCTCATTGGCTATGATTAGGAGGCAGGTATCCTTGTTATTTGTAATGCTTGTTTTGGTAAAATCAATCGCATACCTTCTGCAGGTATACACTCATAATGATTTGCAGGAATAAATAAAGGACAAGACAATTCAGGGATAAGATTCTTCAAATTGCAGAGAGGGACCTGGTTCTATATCAAAGGTTAGCACTCTTTACATTATATTTAAACTGCTAATGAGAAGCGTTATGACTGCCACGTGACAATAATCCCTCTTCTAACCGTTTTCCCATCACTTTAATTCCAAGAGACCCATCCTTTCAAGGGACCTGACACACCTCTTCATCTCTTTTTATACTCTCTCCCCCATCTCTTTTCAAAAATTCAAACTCTTCTCTCAAATCTTTCCAGAAACCCTAACTTTTGTTCTCTTCTTTTTCTCTTTCTCTCTCTTCAAAATGTCTCAAACTCCATCTTATTCCCAAAAAATGATGGATGTTCTAAATGAAATAGACCTTGTTGCCTTTGTCTCCCCCTCCAGTAACCCTATCTCAACCATTCTTCCGGTTAAAGATTCCCAAACCCCAACCTCTGAAATCTTTCTTAATTCTGCTGACAAAGCCCCTCCGGTGTACTCCCCTTCTCTAGATCTAAATGACCCCTAAAATACCTCTCCTGATGAGGCTGTGTTGCCCATAGTGGGTCAAGAAAGTGAAGCCCCTTAACTTCATCTCAACCATGTCTCATCTCCTCTATTTTATCTAAACTTTCCTTTGAGGGAGACCTTCTTGAAGAAAAGAACTCTGAGTCGAACATTTTGGCTACTAGTGAGGAATTAGTTGTGGAAACTCTCACCGAAATGAGGGAAGGCACAAGGACTCCATTTTCTGAGGAAGAAGACAGAATTCGAGGCTCATCTAGAGACCTCTGAACCAGAGTTTGACAAAGCCCAAAACTGTTCCACCCTCTACTACTGCAGATGACGAAGATGATCTTCCCCTACGCTGGGCCGTGCAAAGAAGGATGGTGCCTATCTCTAGCAAGCGAAAAAAGAAAGTAACTGAAGAGACATCTACAAAGAAAATCCCCCATCCTACTATGGTTTCAACAAGGAAGTTAAGGAGTGATGCAATGAGGCAAATAAGGCTAGCACAACTGAGAACAGGAAAAGAAGAAAGATTGCAGTAGAAGAGAACCTGGTCCACAAGAGGTAGTGGTTGAAGTATCAAATGACAAGGATGAAAGTGAAACTGAATCAGAAAACATCATTTCTGCAGTTGAAAAGGGGAGAAAAAAGACATTAGGAAAGCAAAAACCCAAAACAAGGAGAGCTTCAGTCAGAAAAGAAGTTGACTCGAAGAAAGGAGAGAAAAAGGAGCAAGGGAGGAAGAGAGTGAAGGAGACCACTAAAAGAAAAAGATAAGTGTCGCCTGACACTGAGGAAATTTTTGCAGAATCTGAGTTCAAGTCTGAGAAGGGACCAGGTTCAAGGGATAAAAAGAGGAAGGTAGAGAATAAGGCAACTAGGGAGGAGATAATTGGCATTTGAGAAAACAGAAGGTTTTAAATGGAAGAGTGTTTGATCGTGAGATAATTACCAAGCCAGGAATGAGCAATCCGGTTGATTCTGTGGAAATCCAAGGATGGACTCACTTGTTCATAGATCTTATTTCAGTGTTGCATAAAAATCAGGTAAGGGACTTTTACTATAATGCTGAATTCACAGTAGATGGGAGTCTCAATACATAAGTAGGTGATATAATTTTTCACTTTAATGAGGAAAGGTTGGGAGAGATTCTAGGTGTACCCCCATAAGGGATTAGGTATGTGGTTGGACAATCGTGCTCTAAAAGGTTTGTTCAAAAAAATGGAAAACTCCCAAAGTTAAATTGTGTTGGAATTCCCAAAAAGCTTCTGAAGGGGGAATATCAATTACGTTTCGAGTTGGTGAATAAAGTGCTTCTTCCTAGAACTGAGAAGCGAACAGTTGCTTTTGCGGGTGACCTTTTTCTAATGGAAGCATTGTGCAAGTTTGACTCCATCAACCTTCCATCCATCATGCTCGAGAATATGCCCAAGACTCTTATAGAGCAAAAAGAGAAACATGGCATGGGTTATGGCTACTTCTTAACAAGAGTGTTCAAATATATGGAGATTCCTCTTGAAGCAGGTGTGAGAGAAACAATAAAGCAATCTTTCTCCATGAACACCCTGGTTGAGTGTGAGTGTATGGAAGGAAATATAGGGTACATGAGCAAAATGACTGAGTTGGTGGTAGAACAGAGTAAGTTGAGGCATGAACTAAAGGAAATGACAGCATTATTGAGCCATAAAGATGCATAAATAGTTGTGCTGAAGGCACAATTGGTGAGGGCTCAAACTGAGGGACCAGGTTCGGCTGAAGTCGCAGAAGTGATGGCCAAAAATGAAAGCGTCGTGACATAAAATTCTGAACTCAAGGAAAAGGTAAATAAGACTCATGACAATGTAGATGCTCGACTAACTCTTGTCCTTCAATCCATCGCCCAAAAGCCGCCTCCTTCCTAATTCTTATCTGGTCCTACCTATCCATCTTCCCTTTATCTTTTTCTTTGTGTGGGCATTGTCTCGTTGTTCTCTTAGGAGTTTGTTTATAATGTTTTTAATGTTATCTTATATGCAATGAAATGAATTCCCTTTTTTTTTGTTGAATGGCCTTTCTTAATTTTCTACTTTTCTTTTATGCTTGTGTTGCCAAATGGCCATGGTTTTACCATACTTGCTTACTCTAAATTCTGGTTTACTGCCTTTTCTTTTTTATGATGCCAAACGGGGGAATAATGGTATGCTTAGGATAGAAATTTGACCTGTTTCACTAGGGATTGGGATAGGTACCTGGTACCTGATGCGGTTGACAGGGGGAAGAAGTGGGTAGGAAAAGAGAAGTCTGTCATCATAAAAAAGGGGGGAAATGTTAATATGTAGTTTTGATGATTTGACAAACCATGGGATCTGATAGGGGACCTGATCCCATGTGAGAATGGTGCTCTTGTACGAGAAAATGACAGCTGGAAAAAGTACTCTGCTCACTCTGATATCTGCAGGAGGTGGTGCGCGTCTGGTGTAGAGCGACAGGCTGTATGCCAATAGTATTGCTTCTAGGGTTTTGTGTCCATCATATATAAGCTTCATATCGATGGACACAACCTAGTTTTTGCATCCCAAAAGCTGGAAATACAGCAAATGCCATTCTCTCTAGAAATATTCTCCTAAAGAACAACAAGGGACCTATAGAGTTGTCATTGTTCTTAGTTGTTGTAGGTTTATATTTCCATGATTATCCTTGTAGATCTATTCCTGTGTTATAAAGGAATTAGATTAGTTCATGTTTTTATCATTGATTCTGAGTTGTAGCTAGAGTTAGCTATGGTGAGTTAGTGAAGTCTAAATTGATTAGAGTTAGTTGATTTAGTGAGCAGCAGAGTTGTTGCTTTGGAGCTTGTTTGTAACAGAGTTGTTACAGTAAGGGGGAGGAATTTAGTGTTAAATTCCTAGATTGCAAGAGCTTTTAATCTGAATCTTTTCTCCTTAATGAAAATGGAGTTGGGTTGTAATCATGTGAGTACAGGTCGTGGTTTTCTCCTCCCTTGAGCAAGGGGGTTTCCACGTAAACTGATTGTGTCTTTTATTTTAACACATTTATTTAAGTTACTGTTCATTCTGAGTCAAGGGACCTGGTCCATTGACATGTAGTGGACGTATACATTCTAGGATAGACCAAGACCAGAGCCTAAACCGAAGTCAGGAAACTGGCTGATTTTCATTTGGCAATGGTTATTGTCACTCTTTTATATGTCTTCTAGTGCACCAGTCTTCCAATAGAATTTTGAATACTACCTGTAAGATTGTAGGAACCAATGTCGAGTAGATTCAAATTCACCAGGTTTGAGATCTCTCTTGGTATGCTTCCACCAATTCTGTTTCCGAAGAAGAGTAAGCATTGTAACTGACTAGAAATGCTACCTATTGAATGGGGTAATGTACCTCTCGTAAATGTTGTTTTTGATATTGAAGTGCATAGTTCTTTCTTCTTTTTTTTTTGTAAATATTAAGCCATCAGCATCACAGCTTAGAGCACAATGAAGTAAACTTTTCAGTTGTTCTTATAGTAATATTTCTCTCCTGCTAACTACAACTAACACAATGAGGGCAAAGTGTGTATGCATAGATGATGCTTGTTATAAGCTACAAATGAAATTCACTGTACATTTATAGGTCAGGGTTCGAGTTGTAGAAGTACCACTATACTTGTATTAGGATAAACTATCTATATCACACCTCTTGAATGTGATCTTTCCCTGGACTTGAGCTACTTTTTTATTCATTTATAGAATTGGCCACAGTATCTATAGTAACTCTTTTAGATTAAGCTTTAGAAAGATAAAGCACAATTTTATTTTTCAGGCAATGTTTTGGTAACAGAGAATTGGAGTTGTGAGGCTTTTTTGTGGTAAAAATTGTTAATTAGACTAGAAGTCGTTATATCCTTTGAACAAAACTGATATACATAAACTCATAATAAAGGTTGTTACAAGAGATATTAAGTGTCTTATTTCCTTACAACTCAGATAAAATCAGTGGTACTTCTTCCAATCGATTTGTGATTCATATATAGAGTCATCAACTGGTATATGACAACAATATTATGCTTGTTTTTCTTTTGCAAAGGAGAAAATTGAAGAAATCCGAAGTCAAAGGACAGAAAGTATTGTCGAAGTTTCACCTAATGATGCACTTGGTATAGTACTCGGTCCCGAACATCCGGGCCATGTTTAAGGGTTAGGCTTGGGTGTTTTTCCAGCTATGGCATTCAAACGAACATCTAGGAGATTTTATCATGTTAATGTGAGTTCATCTAGCACTAGCGCTCCAACTCCGGAGTGGCAGCAAGAGATGACGAGTATGAAATTACAACTAAATGTTCTACTTAGCTTATATCAAAGAAACATAGGGAAATATCCTTGAAGAGTTTGCTCACTTATTTCTACCTCCTCCACAGGTATGCCCATTATAAATATTTATATTTTCCCTTATTTGCTCTTCTGTTGAAGCTTAGTATCTTGCTGAAGAGACATTTTTTAGTATTGGATAGAGGTAAGAGGTCGATCTAGAACTTGAAAATAATTTGAATTTTGATAGTAGGTGGAAATCTGAAATCTTTTGGTTGTACGGTAGAAAAATGCAGCTATTGAAAATTGCAGCTTCCTACATGCTTCTGGTAGAAAAATAATTGTTTTAAAGTATTAGTATTATCTGTTGGAACTTAAATAGACAAAAGAAAGCAATGAAGCAATAGTTTAGCAAAAGAGCAATGACATATTTAAAGACAAAAAATAATGATCCAGAATGTAGCCAAAATGTTACAAATGCAACGAGAGGAAACTATTAAAACTTTAGTTAAGGTTGATAGCACAGAGTTAACTTAGTTTGATTTATTATTGTATATTTTCTTCTTTGTTTATTACTTCATATGTTGTCCCAAAATAAGTGTGGTTTTATGTTGTGGGGCTTGAACAATCTTCTGCTAGCATATATTTAAAAGTTTGAGATGTATACTTCTCACACGGTTATTTTTTCAGGCATCAAATATAGGAAGTGATACTCAACAGATACCAATCAGACCAAACGTCGATTAGAAAGCTTGAAATGGGAGTAACAACGATGATGGATCAAGCACCAACAGAAATCAGTTTTAGTACTTTTTTTTTTTGGGATATTCTTGTTGAATGATACTTTGAAATTAATATTTTGATGATGTAATTTTGAACTGTCAAACAATACTTTAAAACATTAATATTTTGATGATGTAATTTTGTGTAATTTTGAAGTACTTTTATTTTATATAATGAATATTTTGTTTGATCTTTTATGTTCGTGTTAAAATTACTAATCATAGGAGTTTAAATGTCTAGAGTGCAATAAATTGGAGGTGAATGTGGATTGACCAAATGGAAAAACAATTAATTCTTGCAATAAAATTCTGCCGTCACAAAAAAACTTTAGGACATTTTTGAAAAGCCAAAAACGCCGTAAATGATGCATGATTTTCTCATAATTACGGCGGTTTTAACTGTCACTTTATACAATAAAGAAATGCCGCTTTAACAAAAGAATATTACGACAACTATGTAATATTGCGGCAGTTTTATAAAAACCATCGTGATACATTTGTGATAGACGAGATTACAAGATTTTTACAAAACGTCGTTATGATGATGTGTTGTGACGATTTGAAACCGTCGTATTACATCTAAAAAACCGCTGCAATAACCCTTTTTTTCGGAGTGACAATTAATACAATTATATTTGATAAAAATTGTGTGGAGTTATAAAATAGAACAGAACTATTCATCATCTGCTTCATAATGTGAAAGCTATTGGAATTACTAATTAATACCTCTTTAATTTATGATAAGCATGTAAAAATCATATTTCGTTCTAATTAAATATTTAGTCATTCTAAAAATTGATATTCTTTTTATTTTTCACAAATATTAAATTTAATATTGTTTATATATTACATTCACAAAAAATAGGTGGATTCAATTAAAATAATGAGATCTAAATAATATATATAGTAATGTCACGAGAATTTTTTTCTACATATTTAATAATAAATGAATGTAAATAGCTTTGATAAAAATTAACCAAATATAAAAGAATAAATATATAATAGAATCTACAAACAGATAATAATATATGGAGTCCGGAGCCTAAAGGGCAAAAAAAATGGTCAAAAATTCCAAAAGGGCACATCACTTTTTATTTTAGCCAAAAGGGCAAAATCGCTGCGTTAACAGCGATTTTCCTCTGACAAAATGACAAAATCGCTGCTGTGGCAGCGATTTTGTAAAAAAAAAAATTTTTTAAAAAAATTAAAAATCGCTGCTTTTTTTTCTTTAAAAAAACTAAAACAGCACATCAAAAAAAAAATTAACCAAAAGGGCTTCTGACAAAACAAAGAATATACATCTCATGTACACAAAACAATGCTTCACTACTGTGGATATACATCTCATGTACATAAAAGAATATTAAATTCAGAAAAAAACTTTTTTTTTAAAATTCTTAACCAAATTCGCTGCTATAGCAGCGATTTTGAAGAAAAAAAAGTTTTTTTGCCACAGCAGCGATTTTTAATAAAAAAAATTTTTAGACGAAATCGCTGCTAGGGCAGCGATTTTGTCATTTTGTCAGAGGAAAATCGCTGCTGACGCAGCAATTTTGCCCTTTTGGAATTTTTGACCATTTTTTTTGCCCTTTAGGCTCCGGACTCATAATATATGTGTGCATCTATAGATTTTCTTTCATTTAACATCTCTTCAACCTTGAAAAATGACAATGATTAATGACTACACGACAAATATCAAATGATACAAGAAGCAAAAGTGAAGTAACATCAAAATTAAACAATCAAGAGATACAATAATGATATGTGACTAATTTTAAGAAAATCTCTTACCGTCAAGTTGTTGATGTGTGTGTATATATATATATATATATAGCAACAATTAGAATCATGTGGTTCTTCATTATTCCTCACACCTTGATAATGAAGCTGATGACAATTCGTTCATATCATGAAGATCGTCATGGTTCATTACCTTAATGAAACAAGCAAAATCAAAAAAATAATTAAGACTACTTCATGACAAAGTTTATAGGAAAGTACTTTCTGAAGCTATAAGTTAGGGAATATATCTTAAAGTTATATAGAAATTCAAAAGTCATACTGAAAAAAAAAGGCATTACAAATAACTCTTGGGTTCTTCACCATACGTGCACTTGCATTTAATTTGTAATTACTGCTAGAAAGTTGAATCATCTAATTCTAATGCCAAGGAAAGTATATACAAGTTACTTTACTTCTTTTGACTAATTCATTATACAATATAATTATTTAATTTTCATGCTAACAATAACTCATAATCTAAAAAATAATTAAAATATTATTACTTAATATTTAATTAATTAGGTTGTTAAAATATTTTAATTAACAACAAGGGCAAAACTGTAATCCAACTTTGAAGACAAAACCTTCCCACTTATAATAATATATGATATGATGATGATGATAATATATGATATGATGATAAATATAACTTTGTAAGTAGTGTAATTTATGTCCTAGAAATTAAAATAGAACTTCAATAAATGAAAGGGCAAATACGAAAAGAATTTCAAATATCTATCTTGAACTTTGAACAGTGAAAAAAATTTCACTAAATATGAAAATAAAATAAAATAATATACCATAATTTTTTTTAAAAGAAAAAACCATATTGTTACGGAGAATAATTGTTATACCATAATGTATTTCTCCTTTTTCATTAGTTTGCAGCTGCCCCACGTTGTCTCTCTGTTTCTTCTTTATCATTTACTTGACATTATTAGGAGACTTGGCCGTGGACTCCAGCTACCACTAAAAAGCCAATTTACTACCGTATTGGATGGGGGTTCGATCGAACCTGCTGGCTTTTTCGTAGACCCATATTTGTATAAAAAATATGAAATAAAATGTATCTATTTATTTCATGCGAACCCTCAAACACAATGAAACAATTGGTCCAACGGTATCTGCGCACCCAGTAAATTCGTTCGGCCCCTACTGGATGGGTTCGAAACTCAATATCCACAGTTTATTTTTGGGATATTCAAAAAAGTTTAAACCCAATTTCTTTTGTATTTTTCTAAAAGTTAGGGTTCTAACTTTTATTGTTGATCTAATTGTTACCGTCTGAAATCTGGTCTCCGGTATGTAATCCTATCTCTCTCTTTTCATTTTTTTTCTTACTTGTTTGCTTTTACATGGTATGATTATCTATTCAAAACTTAATTTTTAATCTTTGATTCTAGGGTTATCCCACATATTGATAATTTATTATATTAAAATAATTGTTGTTTGATTTTCAAAATTTTAACTTTTGGTTGACGGGCAGTAATGGTTCAAGATGATAGTTAAACTAGTAAAATATTTGTTTTAGGTGCCAAAATATTAGTGGTGAACTTAATAATTGTAACCTCACTTAGAACAATATTGAAGATTCTAGTAAAAATATTCAAATTTGATGGTTGTTACTTTAGGTTAAGATCATTGTTCTTTTTTAAAATTTAGAACCCACTGGTCTGAAATCCTGGCCCCGCCTCTGTTTGTCAACACAGATGTTTGCTCGTGAAGCCCTGTTTTCACTTGCATCAGCCGTTGGGACACCCCTACAAGTTGATAGGGCAACAACGGGTAAGTCAAGGCCTAGTGTAGCTAGGGTAAAAGTGGAGGGTTATCTATTATCATCGCTTCCGGATAGAGTTAGAATGCTTTTTAAAGATGAAAAAAATGGTTTCGTTAAAGAGGTGTTGCAAAAACTTGTCTATGACAAACTGCCTTCGTACTGCACAACATGTAACATCAAGGTCACAAGGAGGGAGAATGTAGACTGACTATGGAGGTAAAAGGTGGACTAATTGATGAAACAAAAATTAATGGGGCAAAGTTCGAAGGAGATTTGCCATCAATTTAGGATGAGAAAAAGAAAGTTCTTTCTCTTCAACAACTGGAAAAGAGGTAACATTACCAACTTCTTCCAATTCTGAAAAAAAAATAGTGTGGAAAGAGTTGATGCACCAGGTCCCCTACTTGTTGCTGCAACATCTGGGAAAAAAGAAGATACATAAACTATGTTACTTGGGACACTAACTTCTAAGACAACTTGGTACGACCACAACGGATACATAAACTATGTTACCTGGGACACTAACTTCTAAGATTAGTGAGCAACTTGGTACGACCACAACGAGTTCTTCCACTCATGTCCATATTGATGTTGAGGCACAAAATAATGTAGATAATAACTCAAGGCAGTTGATCGTTACATCACAAGTCGCTACAGAGCAGTTATCGTCTAGATTTGTGCAAGATAGAGAGTTGGATTCACCTAATGCAGTTGCGGTTACTAAATCAAGGCAAGACGAAGCAAAAAAAAGGCAACACTACCGCAGAAAAATTCAGTAATTAATGGACTTTGGTCTCACATAAAAAAACGGTTGGCTCTAAGTCCTCAAATAATCACATTTTGCACCAAAAAGATTCTACACATGTTGAGCTTGATAGGGGTAATAGTGTCGTTGAATATACTCAGTTTGATGTGTTTCGAGATGAGAAGTTTGTACAATATGAAGGGCTACATGTTACAGATGAATTATCTGCTGAAACTGGGAATACTTAGACTTGGACAAGCAGATTGAGAAAACAGGAGAGTTAAATCAATGTTGTCACGATGAGCATACTAATCAACAAACTCTTGTGACACATGAAAAGGAGTTCATTGTTACGGAGAAGATAGATGGCAAAGAAATCAATCCAAATACACCTACCATGTTTATTTTAGATCAAGAGGTGGCTACAAACAATTTGAATGAATCTAAGAAAAAACGAGGGGGAAAGTGCTTTAAGATGGGCAGATTTAGTTGAGGAAGAGAATCATACTCCTTCACCTAGTAGGAGCAAGTTAAGCCCTCAAGCACTTGAATTTGTGCCTACAAGTAAAACAAATCCATCTATGGCAGTCATAGGTACGTCATCTAACTTGAGTGCTACAAAAATAAACGTGGCTGATAGAGATATTCTTTATGACTTGGACAATGACATGTCTGATGGAGACGATGAAGATGAAATGTTGGATATATGCTTTGATAAGGTGGCTAAGGAGGGGGATCAAATGCAAAAAGAAGACACATAGAAGACAACATAGTTGGGATGGTAAGGTGAGTGAGGATTTTGTTCCAAGACACCTATCGATGCGACTAGCAAAGCAAAATCATATGACAGTGTCAACAACTTTATCAAAGATCCAACAAATCCAAGAAGAAATG